CACCAACAATAGAATTGGGCCAAACTTCCCACACAGAACTCCCATGACCAACAGAAAATATTGTGTTTTCTGGTGGTCTTTGGCAACCCCTGACACCCTCTCACAACCCTCCCCCTGGGGTCTCAACCCCCAGGTTGAGAAAAGGCGGTTTAGGACATTATCCCACGCGGACCCCCTCCCCCGTTTCTGAACACTTGTAATATAGAAAGGAAACAATGTTTAACAGAGTCCATCAGACAATGGCAGAGGACTTCCTCCCTGCGTCAGTCATGTCTTATCAAGGAAGTGTTTCTGAAGTGTCTGGATACTTTGGGGGGGGGGGGGGGAGATGGGCAGAGATAATCTTCTGAACTCAGGAATCGCTGTATAACTGGAGTAAATGGGGGGAAACACATGGGATGGAATCAAATCCGCCCATGTTGAATCACTTCAATGGCATGGAGTAAAGTGGATTCCTATGGGCAGTCTCCTACTAAGCACTAACATTTCTCTCCCAAAATCCTGCTTCATGAGGCTGGCATTTCTGAAAATTAATTTTATCATTAAAAATACAGAAATTTCAGAATATCGCCACTTTCTTTTTCCTGTCATTTCCCCTTCTTTGACTTTTGAAACTGTGCTACAATTAGCTTGTGAGATTGGGAGGAAGGATTGGAGCCCAGAGAAGCAGTGATGTAGATCAATGTCTTTTTTCTTTCTCAGGAGTTGCAGGATTGGGAGGGAAATTCTAAAGTGGTGTCTCTCTTCCCAGATCAGTGCCTCCTCTTTCATCAGGAGCCACAGGATTGGAGAGGAATTTATATTTTAAAAATATAAATAAAAGATTTTTGTGAGATATGTTGTTTCCCATACATTTCATTATTACAATCTATGTATGTGTCTGTATCTCTTATAACGGATTGGTTTAACCTCTGTTTTGCTACTAAAACTGACTTATTGTGTTGCAAAATGATGCTTGTCTAAAAGGTGAGCCACCAACATGAAATTTTGGAAAGCTTTGCATTACAGCAATATGGCTGTAGTACAGTAAATGTGAGCGCTCTCAGCTTTAACTGAAAATCCCATAATTCTAAAAAACAGTGTAGTGTGAACGAGTCCTGGAACAATAAAGGAGGTGGAGTATTGCAACCATCAAATTTTGATGTGCCAATGAGCTACTTTGCTATTTTCTCCCTGAGATCCAGTTTCCCATAGTTGTGTCTGTTTCAGTTTCCAATCCATTTCATCAACTTGTCTCTGTGTTGGGAACAATTGGTCATGAATTCAGCTTATGATGAAGCTTTAAAACTTGTTCCTCTAGGCAGACTGGTAATGGAAGAATGTGTAGAAGGTGTATAGGAAACATAAATAAGTTCAATGTGTTGTTGAAGGCTTCCATGGCTGGAATCACTGGGTTGCTGTAAGTTTCTTGGGCTGTATGGCCATGTTCCAGAAGCATTCTCTCCTGACGTTTCACTTTCCTCTATGGCATGCATCCTCAGAGGTTGTGAGGTCTGTTGAAAGACCTTACAACCTCAGAGGATGCCTGCCATAGAAGCAGGTGAAACATCAGGAGAGAATGCTTTTGGAACATGGCCATATGCCTGAAAAACTTACAGCAACTCATAAATATGTTTCATTTTTAGATTTGGGTTCTATCTCCAAGATTTCTCTTTATATGTGTATATTCATACACAGATATTCCATGGTCTTGGGAGGACAATCAGGAGTTCACAATACTACTGGTACTAAGCATTTTGGATAAGGGATGCTCAACTTATACTCACATTTTGAAAGCAGTTTTCTTTACTGTAATGCTTTTTATGTATTCATATGCTAAAACACATATTTTGAATGCTTTTTCATCATTGTACAATTTTTGTATTTAATTTCCCCGCAAAAGAATGCAATTCAATAAGTGCTTTCCAGTTTCTATGTTTGTTTAGAAAGTGAAAACTTGGTACTTTTTCAGTGATATGATAATGGGTCTAAATTCTCCTCTATCCTTTATTGCTCTGTGATTTCAAAACTCAAGTGCTCTAATTGCAAAACATTAATTAGTCTTCAAGGAACAATCCTCTAAAGATTCTGGACAGCAGCTAAACTAAATAACTCAAGTGGACTTGCCACAGTCTTAAGGTACTAATTTATACACATATGCTTGGAATGTGTCTGAGAAAAATATATCTGTATATATCACTGGTTTTGCTTTGCCACAAAATGTAAACACAGTGATTGGATTTATTCAAAGAAGACCAAGAAATTTAAGCATGTTGGCAGGATGCAGTTCTCCACTGTAAATTTCTGTTTATCAAATACATATATATCCATACTGAAATTCAGAGATGTGTCAGGAACATTTGTTATGATCAGGAAAGGAAAGAAAAAAACAAGAACCAAAATGAAGAGACAACCATATGTCTTCATAGGTCCCTTCCTGCTACCCATTATATAGACTGCATCACATGCCTCGAGGGAGCTTGTTTGTTAAACAGTGTCATCTTGCACTGCAGAAAGTGAGATTAAGTTTAACCAAAATGCAGATGAAAGACTGACAACAGGAAACCTTGCTGATGGAAATTAAATGTGTATTGGAGAAGGAGCCTATCCAAAAATAACTTCCAAAGCGAAAAAAAATTGGCATGTTTTTCTGTTCTTCCATCAAAAATTTCAAAGAATTCTATGTATCCATTCTCTTCTTCCCTATTCTCATCCATTATCCTCACAACAGTCTAGAGTTAGATTATGGCAATGAATGCCAGTTGGCACCAGACTGCAGAGTTGCTTTGTAGTTATCATAGAGTTTCGTGTCTTAATGCTAATGCTATATAGCACTAGAGAATTCAAATGTCATATACTATGAAGTTAAGTGTCTGATAAAACTAGGGAAGCTGGTGAATATTCTGTGAAACATAATGTTAACAACCACACCCTCAACGTTAGCATTATTTAGAGAGCATTGAGGACACATTTCTACAATGTACACATGGCACATAATACTTCCAACTGGAGCAGGCCCACTGAATTAATGGGGCTTACTATTCAACAACTGATTCAGTAAGTCCCCTATAGTTGAGACTACTACTGGGATTCAGGCCACTATATGTATGGTCCTGAGCCTTAAATGTATTTAAATGTACAAGGCTATTACTTTTCAATGCAAATCAAAGTTTGGTGGTGGGATTAAGGCAATATCTGAAGCATCTAAGTTAGAGTTAGTTTCTAAAATGTATTTTCTCTTAAACTTTTGTATGAACTATATCCTATCCTTGACACATTTTCTAATTAAAGGAAGTCCTTGTGAAACTTTTTTGAATATTTGTTATTTTTTAAAGAAAACCCAGGCACTAAAAACCTCACCTCCTCTTTCAAAAATTGTGGAGTCAGGGAAAACTCCAACAGATTCCTGTACCATAAACCCCTGTTTTCTATTCAAACGCATTTTGGGACTGTAATAATAATTACATCTCTCCACCCATCATGAACAGCTCGCACACTTTTTCTTTCCAGTTAGGATTTCAATGTGGGCCTTTTGCTTCATGGTTTGCTTTGCTACTCCAATCCATAAACCAAGCTCTTGGCTGTTTCCCATTTTGTTGTTGTTGCCGGTAACATACAAACATGGCAAACTGGATATTTTTTCAAATGGAAACTGTGATGCAATGGATAAAATGTTTGATTTAGAATAGGAAGGTGAAGTCTGAACTCTTTAAACAACTGTACATTTGGGGTGTTGTGTGGTTTCTCCTAATGTTTTGCCTGCATCTGTGGCTGGCATCTTCTGAAGATCAGAGAAAATGCTGCTAGATCACGGCCATACAGCTCGGAAACCCGAGTGATTCTGGCTGTGAAAACCTTCAACAACTGTACATTTATTATATGGAGATCATGGGCTAATCACATTATCTCTAAGTCTAACTTATATCTTTACTATTATGTAAAATCATGAACAGCACCTTGAATTTCTTGAGGTTTATGGGCACTGTAACCTTTCAAAGGTCAAAAAAGTGCTAAATGACATGAATATCGGACATAGAATCAAATCTCTTCCACTGAAGCAAGTTGGACATAACATTTCCCACTTTCATTCCATTAGCTATTAGCTATAGGACTCTTAAAATGGATAGGTCTTTACAAAGTAGTTTGGAGATTTGGTAAAGTGGGGTATAAAACTGCTAGCAGTGGAATACATGGATACAAATTCTGGACCATTATAGACACTTTGTTACTCTAGAGAATTAACAATGTGGTGGATTTCTCGTGCTAGTAGGATCCCACACACATGCAAATTAGAGTTGTTGTAAAGATTCTAGCAAAACATACCTTCCTGCTTGTGACCTGAGTCATAAGATTACCTAGGCCACATTTATGTGGGTGACACACCACAAAGCTTTTCACTCAATCAATGTAGAACAAATAGCTTCCTTCTGCTGTGCAGGTTCTGAAAGACAGACTCTAACTTGTTTCAGTTTCTATCAAAAGTAATGAATTATTGGCTATTTTTATATGTGTTGAAAGCTCCACAATACCGTGATACCATAAACAAGACTAAGCTTATTGTAAATGTATCACTGGGTCATATCAACTTATCTCCCCTCTCCTCCACCCTAATGAAAAAAATGGGCAGTTAATGTTGATTGTATTTACTATGGCTTGATTCAGATGTCACAATAACTCAAAACAGGGACAGACAGCCTTGAACTCATTATCCCATGCCTTCATTTCCTGGAGTGGTTGTTATTTTGGAAGCCCATGATTCTGATTAACCACAGCTTGTTATACTCAGAAATCCATAAACCTACTTCAAACTACTGGGTGTGTGAACCTAGCTTGCCTAAATAGTTTTCATTTGATGTGTGCTAACAACATGGATTCCATGGCATATTGCTTGCCACTGCTCGCCCTAACCCTAACCTACTGTTATCTCCCATCCTTAAAAAAATGATTGTGGGGACTTCCCTCCTTCCTAGTTCCCAAAGCTGTGGCCTGGGGAAGAAGTATGGAAGGAAAATAGTTCTTACCATGTGCCACCCAGCCATGTTTACACTGATCGCAGGTTCTCAGGTTTATCTTCCCTGGTTGGAAACATTCACACGTGCAATTTACCAATGTACAGCGAATGGCCTAGAAGAAGAAAAGGGAAAAAACCTTCCATAAACTTGTAAGTATAATTAAAATCATAACACAATTAGAATGGGATCTAAAATGACCATCAAAAATGCTTCCAAGCATATAGAGAATGCTGGAATCTGTCTGGAATCTACCTCTATTTCAGCTTTACCACAGACTGCTCTGGAAAATTTCCTTGTCTTCCAGAGGTGATTTTGGGGGCAAGGAGCAGTAACATAAAGTGGGAATATGGAACAACCTTTATGAATGTGCAGAATGTCAACAATGGCTCTTTGGATCTTGGATATAAAATATTAAGAAAGATGTTGCTGTGCATCAAATAGTTGCTTGCAGAATAGCTGTCATTTACATTTCCCTGTTGCATATATAATACATATTAAAATGAAAACATGGCATGAAATAACTTGTTTCAATGAAACCATGGGAAGGGCACATCAAAAAAGTACTTTTCTCATAGTCACAGAGCAATTCCAATTACAGGAATGCAAAAAGTCATAATCATAATTCCATGATCATGAATAAATGTTTCAAAATATTACAGGTCCAAGTCCACCTTGGAATTTTAAACGAAGAAGAAGAAATATGTGTCACAGAAATCTGGTTTAATTTTCAAATGCCCAATGGATTTTTTTTAAGCGAGTTATGTTTTCACATTATAACATGTCATGTAAATTATAACCATGAATGAAGTAGGTACTCAACTATACATAAAGGGAGAGCAAAGGTCTCCTTCACCACCCTTGAGCCTCTTAAAAATAAATTCCAATGTTTTGTTTTCTTTTCAAGACATATAAGAGATGCAATCTAGAATGGCATCAGAACAATCATCATCATCATCATCATCATCACTTAAATTCTTAATTAGTCGCTCTCCACCAAAGTGCTCCGAGCGACTTACAATGACAGAAAAGGGAAGTTAACTTTAAAGATACTGTGCAACTTTAATGCACTTCCACTTTTCAATTCCTCTTACAAGGCACCCAGTGTTTACCTTTTGACAATTTACATATTCCCTTTAAAACCAAAATGGTTTATAGGCAAGTAGGACTGAAATGCACCTCGTACAAATAGAACATTTACATTGAAAAGGAAAGATAGGCAATTCCTTTATATTACAAAGCAAATACATAAATAATGTGCCAGCTTTTTTTTAGGGCAGGACCTCAGTTTTTAAATAGTGCTAAAGTTGACCTGTGTTCCTTAAGCTACTACTAGTAAATTTATGGCATGCATTTAGACTTAATTTGCACACCGATTTTTGAAATGGAGGGAATTATATTCATCATTCACACATTAACAATGTACTGTAACTACTCGAAATGCCAGGAAATGATCACTCCACCAATTTAGATGCAACCAGTGATTACTTTGGAGTCGAAGGCCAGAGGGAGGGGGTTACTACCTGTAATTGCAAGAACATCAGAATTTTCTACATGCTGTCTCAACTGATGTATAGAATTGTAAAGCTTTACATTATAGAACCTAACTATGTTTGTTTTGAAATAGTGATATTGGCTACATTATTATATGCTCCTGCTTCGAAGTCTCACTTAATTTGGAGAGTACTACTTCCAAGTAAGTATGCATGAAATCAGGTTGTTTATATATGATGTTATAGGAATGAATACAAAGAGGAATGTGTATAAATGGATGCTTCTTTTGCTCAGAGTAGTAAGTGGGGGAAGCACATTTGCTCTCCATGCTGTACCCACTGAATATGTTGAATTTTATGGCCTTATCACATTCTGTCTCTATTGCCCCGTATGCTGCTCCCTTGCGGCAACCCTTCCCCCATTACATGGGGGAAGTGTCGCGCAAGCAGAAAGGATCCATGTTGGCTCCATTGGAGACAGCACAAGGGCAGGCTCCCCTGTTGAGTGGGAAGCGTCAAATGCTGCTTCTACTCCATTTGTGGGCAGGACTTTGGCTGGAAGTCCAGCAATGTCATGGGATGGGCAGCATGCCTATTTATCACTGGACTGGTGGGGAAGCGTCCTAGGATGCTTCCCAAGCCTCATCTGATGTGGTTGTTAATGCGCAGTCCCTGAAAGCTCAGGGATGCACTACAACACAATACAACCCAGTCTAATAGATGCAATATCTCTGTGAGCAAAGGAATAGAATCCAGCATATTATTAACAGAAACAATGTTTGCTATATTATTTCCTTTATTCTGTAAGCTCTGATAAGTCTTTGTAGTCTTTTCTCCCCAAGTAATTCCCACCGTTTGCACCATCCTTGCATTTTTCTCCCTCTCCATCTGCTGCTCTATATAAAGCTCTAAAAAGCATTGTTGAATGAGGGACGAGGGAAGAGGAACTTGCTGTATTATACCTGACATTTAAGTGTTCCAACTGACCAACTGTTCATTAGCAAGGTTGTAAAACACTGTTGTACCTATCACTGATTAAAGGAATTAGAAATATGAAATATAAGAGCAGCCATGAAATTGCTGACTAGGCAAGAATAATATATGTGATTGTAGGTTACAAAATGAAGGAAGGAAAAAATCTACCAAAAGGTCCCTCTCCGTGTTCAATACTTTATTGACTCAGTAATATATCAGGTCTCCCCGAGTCAGTAATGGTGTCTTTCTCTAATATGTTCATTAATTAATGAACTCAGTAATTAATTGCACTGCGAAAAGGCATAAAAAAGGGGAGATCCTTGTGCTAACACATACTTTCTTTCAAAATTTGTTTTCAGTGTAGTATGTACACCTTGCTGGGGTTTATCCTATTAGTGGAGGCAGCAATTACAACCTAATAAATATCTGAACAGTATTATAGTATCTCTACTCAAGGTTGAGAATAATTTTTAGAAATCCCCACTTCTCTCCTTTATCAGGAATAGGATAGTTGGCTCGTGGTAAAATAATTAATTAAAGCTGAAATACAGCATTTCAGCCCAATATGAAATATTGTTGTCTGAATTGCTCATTTAGCCATTTATAAATAATAGCACATTTAATATCCCTTACCCAACATGCTTAGGACCAGAAAAGATTGGGATTTTTTCATTGTTTTGAATTCTGGAATGTCTTTATTTGCACATATATACATACTGAGAAATCTTGGAGGTCACATACAAGTCCTAAACATGAAATTCATTTATGTTTCGTGTAAACCCTATGAATATAGCTTGAATGTAATTTTATACAATAATTTCAAGAATATTGATACAACGATTGTGTACACTGAACCATCAAAAACAGAGATGTCACTATCTCAGTCACCCACAAGGACCATTTGGGAATATTTTGGATTTTGGAATTCTGGACAAGGGATGCTCAATCTGTATTGGGAAGAATGGGAAAAATCTATATTTTTTTACACTCATATTATTCACAAAATCACATCTTCAAAAATATTCCAGAACATTTTAAACATCTAGATTATTTTGTATCCTTTTTCAACAACAAAAGCAGTAACTACATGGCATAATTCTCATTATTAGGTCCAGATTAAGATTTCAAATATGATAAACCAACACTTGTACTGCAAAAATCTATTGGATGGATAGCTGTGCCATTGCTAGGCCCATACTGTATATCTACACAAATGTAAATCTATTATTTGGAATACACTCTTAGGCAAGCATGTATGGGCAGTGTCTTCCTCTTCAATGAGGGGAAGAAGTAGCAAATCAAAGCATGTATCAAAACAAGTGTGGGGTAAGAATGAATACAAGAATGGCAGCTGTAGATGAGGCAGATGTAGATTTTTTTTAGAAGTCTAAATGTGTATTGCATTTCAATAGAAAGGGCATGAAAGGGCAACAGCTACATCTTTAATTATGTTCTTGACCTTAGCTGTGGTGTAAAACTGATGGGGAAGGACTATGAGAGCTTGGGCAAACCTTAAAGCGGATCAGTAAGAAGCTTCCCATGAAACAGATTCTAGGTATTATGAATATCCAGTGTTTCTGAAACACAGCAAGAATACTTTTCCAAATACTTTGCCAGGGCTGACGGGAAGAAGTCTGATACCCAACCACAAGAGAAAAAAAACTGTGAAAGATTGAATCTCTTTGCCTAAGTCAGTGATTCTTAACCTGTGCGTCCCCAGATGTCTTGACCTTCAACTCCCAGAAATCCTAACAACTGGTAAACTGGCTGGGATTTCTGGGAGTTGTAGGCCAAAGCACCTGGGAATCCACAGGTTCAGAACCACTAGTCTAAGTTTTAAGATCTTTGGGGAAATGCTTTCTCTTGGTCCCACTGCCATCACATACACTTTTGGTGAGGACCCGGGATCAAGCCTTCCTGGGGGCTACTCCAGATTATGGAATTCCCTCCCAGGGGAGGTTCACTTGGTCCCATTACTCTTTTATTTTCAGCAGCAGGCTAATACATGCCAGCCTTTTGCTGAAAATCTATGTAACAGACAAATTTTATGGTGGAGTTGTGTCTTGTTGTTGCGATCTGTGTTTTTACATGGCTTGAATCTTCTGCTTTTAATCAAACTATTTAATTTAATTTTTTTTTATAAATAATGTTTTATCTATATCCTGTGTTATATGTCACCTTCAATCCTGCATAGAGAAAAAGGAAGGATATAAATTAAACAAACTTTGAATTGTGGCAAATTATAATAGCAGTTTCTATGACGGTACCCAGCAAAAGGTGAAAGGAAAATGGTGCTGTCCAAGAGTAAAGGAAATGTTAAAAGTTATACTGAGTACAAAGAAGCCATGGCATACACCTAAAAAGCTCTTTCGGTCATTGTATAAATGAAAAGACATAGGAAACCAATGAGAAATATGTTGAATTGCTGTTACAAAGAATATTAAAAGAGAACTTTCTAAGAACAAGTGAAAGATTAGCAATAATTGCTTAGATTCACTGTGTTTTAAAATTTACTAAAGATGTAAATTCCACCTTCATAAGTAGTCTGTATATTCTTAGAATGCATCTACACTGCAGAATTAATGCAGGTTGACACTACTTTAACTGCCAAGGCTCAATGTAATGGAATCCTGGGTTCTGTAGCTTG